AATGCCTAGAGCGATTAGGTAGAGTATTTGTCTCTCGTCTTCTAGGTTGGGCTTCAAAAGACTCCAAAACCATATGGTTGGAGACTCTGAAGGCCATGGCTGCGAACCGACAGCAATGGCGATCATTTTGTCACTTCTTATCAGACCAGAATGCTTGAAGTAATACGTATGCATAGTTGAACTGTTTACTCTGTGTGTTGACGATAGAGGTTCGCTTTCTTTTCCAATCCCTACAAGTAAGTCCAATCCCTAATCTCCTTAAAATGTATCACTTACCTTGTGTGCGATATGAGTTTGACCGCGAGCAGTGAAGTGAACTTAACTGTATTACTCTGTACGATGATGATGATGATGATGATGATGATGATGATGATGATGATGATGATGATGATGATGATAAAACACCCTGTTGATAATTTTCCAGCATTTTATCGAAACCTGATTTGAACTTTCGCCGAGCCTGAGCTATTCAGTCCCCGTTTCAGTGAGTGTACCACATACTGTAAAGTGGGGTATGTTCAATATTCGTTAGTTTCCTCGTCGTATCACAGAAAAATGTATCAGTTTAGTCCATAGGTTAGTCAGCTTGGTATGATCAAATACTTGCAGTTTTGACACAAGATAGCCTTATCAAATTTTTAGACCGAACAGCGACCAACCAACACTGAAAGTTTACTTGAAGTAATCTAATGTCCTAGAAATTCCCAATGGGGCAATGAACCGTACGCTTTGCGTTACTAATCTCGCAACTATGGCAACAAGTTCTCGACAGTATATATGTTTTCCTTTAAAACAAATAGTTCAGGTGATCAACGTTGAGAGTCGCATAGTTTGAGGAGTCGCAATGATTTTATCATCGGCTCCCTGCCGGATTCCTGTTCACTTCATATCCAGCGAGTAACGCATAAACCAAATGGAGTGCTAATTCTTTCGGTATCTATAGTGAAAGTTTCATTGCTGCTTCGACAATTCCGATTTTCCTATCACAGCTAGTGTCTTCCTCGTCTAGAGAGATCCCATCTAAACATCGCTGTCCAAACGAAGCATATAGATTGGTTAACTAATGTTCGTGGTGACCCAATTTTCTGATTTGGATTTACTGTCCGCACATTTTTGTTTTATATGAAATTGAAATTTATGTAACATCAACTTTCCACTCCCTCAAAACCGTTTTCAAAGTTGGCAAGTGATTCACGAGTGAGATAGAGAGAGAGGTTCCGAATCTCGATTAACGGCTCATTGGCCAACTAAGTAGCTTTCCGTGACTACGAAATGCGACTCAACGAAAAAATCTCTATGCCGAGCACGTAAAACACAACTGGTCGTGTGTGATAACTGACAAATGTCCTAATTGATCGCCGATTACTCCAGCTGTTTCGGGATTTCGACCACGGCAAATCAGTTTCACACGAGGCATTCGTTAAATAGATTTGACAAAATAGTGAGCGGATCAAACTAGTGCTGGATAACGTTTGCAGTTGAACTATCACTAGCCGGTTATCACCTTACGGCTATGGATACATCCTAGCCCTTGGAAAATTCAATTATTCCGGGACCAACTGGGTGGGATCTTAAGGTCAGGTGAAGCACGGTACAGCCAGTTTGTTAGCACTTGATTTCGGTTTTGAACACCGAATCAGTGCATCACGTGACTAGAATGATACTGATGCAATCATCGGTCCGTAGTACGATAGGTTGGGCAAGTCGCATTCAATCATGCGAACCGTACGTACATCATGTGACACCTCCTTCTTTTCAAAATGTAAAGATTATCAAATTCTTGCTTTCGATGGGAGTGGTTCTTAACGGTAGACGGTGAGCCTCCGACATCAAGTTCAACTGAGTGGTGAATAAAAAAACAGAATGAACAAATATGATATAGCGGCAGCAAGTGTTAACGCAAAATGAAGAACATTTGCAGGGTTGAAACCCTACTTCAATGCACTCAAAGTCAAAGTTTTATTGTGGGAATTATTTGCAAGCTTATGCTTCTCTTGTCCCCATGAGGATAATTACACAGTTGAATCGGTTCACGGTAAAACAGAATGATCAATCGTTACATAGATTTCCGCATAGGAGATAATGTAGTACTAAACGAATTTTATTTTTAGTTGTGTGGGAATGTGAAGGATATCAGGGTTTTATCCAGTCTCCGCTTGAAAGACTCAATAGTTGGTGCACAAACGACATGAGATGGAAGGGTGTTCCAAGTACTGCACACTCTGAATGTAGAAGATGAACGCCGGTATTACAATCGACACATAAAACTCAGTAACTTTCAACCATGTCTCTTAAGGTTGGGTTCCCCAGAATTTGATACCTTAAAATCGAGTCCCCCAAATTCGCCGGTAGTGAGCAGAATATAGTCCCAACGATCGTAAACGCTCCTCATAAGTGAGGTGATGCAACCACATCGACCGCCTTGGTGGAGATCCTGTGTGGAAGTTCCCGTATCAACTCACTTCATCACATCAATTTGTATTATCACTTTGTATTATGAGAGACAGTGAGTGAATAAAAAACAGAAGTTTTCATACCTTTGCATCTTAAGGTGAAAACTCAATTGACTACGCGAGAGTGTAATATGTATTCAGATGGTGAACGTTCAAATGAGCCCATTCGAATTCTCACAGGCACCAGGCAACATTGGTGATCTTCGTTGTGGGTTTCACTCCTTGAAAGATCGATAATTCCCCACTGTTTGCATGCATCTTAATGCAAACGAAATGTTTCCGATAACCAACAAAGAGCACTGGACACCTGTATCGTCCTGTTTGGGGCTCGTCAGAAGTGCGTACGTTTTTTGTCCCTGTCAGGACTCGATTTTATGTGTTCATGAAAATATTTTAATTATGTGGACCTACCTAATGTCTGCTTTTATGCGACCTCCAACTAAAACGCAAGGATTAACGGGGAGCTGTTTATTATCTACTCCCTTGCTCTTTCTCTGTGTGTGCTTACATCAAATGCATGAGATTGATTTGTCTTGGTGCCCATTGATTGCACCTCAAAGAATATTACGTCCATCTGAATTGACAAACTGAACACAACCACATTCCTCGTCTAGGTAATGCTATAAAACAACATCAAAATGTGTGTTTTACCCGAACTGGAAACATGGTCTGCAAGTGATCGGTGAATCAGAATGTGAGTACCACTCATAAGCTTGAGAT